CAAAGGGGGCTGGGGACGGGGCTCAGTGGTTGAGCACCGTGGGGTTCAGTCCCTGGCACCAAAAGAAGAACCCCACACAAGCTCCAAGCTTGTTTCTGGTTAGGATCTGGGGCGAGTGTCCCAGGCCAGGTGGCATGCTGGGGACCCAGGTTGTCTTCTTCCTCTTGCTTCCCTGCCACCCCTAAGGGGACCCTAGACCTTCCTTCTGTAGGTGACTATTTCTGTCTCTCTCAGCTCCTTGGCTCTAGCACAGCAGAAGCCATTGCATTCCCAGGCTGAGGGCCTGAGTTCCAATAAAACTTTATTTACACCCACGGCCCCCAGGCTGAGGCTCACCCACCTGCCCAGGGCGTCACCTTCTGCTTACAGAAGTTGAGCCACAGGCAACTTCCTGTTGTCAGAGGAAGAGGAAGATGGGGGCGAGTGGTTTCCTTTTCCAGGAATCACTGAAAGTTGCATCTGTCAGATCTCATGCTCCCCCGGAGATTGCTTAGTGACCACATTTGCCAACGAGGGAGGCTGGGAAACAGTCCCTGTCACTTTAAGAAGGGGAGAAGAAGCCGGGTGCGGTGGCCCCGCCTGTCATTCCAGGGGCTCGGGAGACTGAGGCAGGAGGATCACAAGTTGGAGGCCAGCCTCAGTCATTCAGTGAAGCCCTCAGCAACCTTGTGAGACCCTGTCTCTAAATAAAATATAAAAAGGGCTGGGGACAGGGCTCAGTGGTAGGTTTAGCACCCCTGGGTTCAGTCCCTGGCACCAAAAGGGAGATGTGTGAGGCCTAGGGGACAGATGGCAATCTCCATTGCAGCATTCAGCTGGAAAGAGCTTTTAGCTGCCTCCTGCCTCCCACAGTCCCGGGCCTGGAGGCCTCTGCTCAGACTCCTTCCCATGCTCAGCCTCTACCTGGCTCCTCCGGCCTCCCTTCCTCCTTCTCTACTTCATTTGTCCTATCCTGCAGCTTGGCCCAGCCCTCGTGAGCTGTGTGATCTCACCCAAGTTACTTAACTTCTCTGTGTCTCGGTGATCCCCTCTGGAAGCACCTGGGATAATGCCTGCCCTTACTCCCTCAGGTCTCGGGCAAATGCGCATGTCACGGCTGGCCTGGCACAGGGCCTGTAGCCTGTCACTAGTCGGTCACCTAGCCTTCCCCTGCCAGGGACAGAGCCCTGGGTTGCTCCCAAGTCCCCACAGGCAGTTCCTCTTCCCTGACCGCCTTACCCGAACAAGCAAACGGGCACAGAGAAGTTAAGTGACCGGCCCAGGGTCACACAGCTAGAAGTAGCACAGTCCACCCAGGGCTGTGCGCTTGGGGGCTCAGCCAAGACACGGGGGGTGAGGGGAAGGCACCCCTTCAGTTCTCTTCTGTCCCTGTGTCCCCACAGGTGGGGATCTGGGCCAGGCTTAAGAGCTTGAGTGGCCTCTGCTCCCTGGAATGCCCCGCCCTCCCCACGCAGGTCTGAGAGCGGCCACGGGTGACCTGGGGCTGCGCCGTCGCCCCTTCTTTTTCACAGCTGCCCCCCGAGGCGGCCTATGACGTGCTGAGCGTGGCGGACATGTACCTGCTGCCGGGCCTCAAGAGGCTGTGTGGCCGCAGCCTGGCCCAGCTGCTGGACGAGGACAGCGTGGTGGGCGTGTGGCGCGTGGCCAAGCTGTTCCGCCTGGCGCGGCTGGAGGACCAGTGCACGGAGTTCATGGCCAAGGTCATCGAGAAGGTGGGCAGGGGCGGAGGGCAAGTGGGCGTGGCGGAGGGCAAGTGGGCGTGGCTGCAGAGAGGTGGGCGTGGTGACGGGCAAGTGGGCAGGGGGCGTGGTGGTGGGCAGGTGGGCGGGGCGGTGGGTGAGACTGGGAAGTGGGCGTGGTGGCAGGGAGGTGGGGGGCTGTGGGGGGCGTGG